CAAAATGGTATGATAGGAGCCATGAAGTCAACACACCAGGCTGGTTCAAAATTTGAACAATGAATTTTGAACTTTTAATGATATCACGGCAAGATGGAATAACTGTAACAACTAGGATGAAAGGGACTACAAATGTATTTTCAACTGTACAGGGCAAAATATGAGCATTTTGCTGTTGATTCTGAATTTTTATTTTTATTTGCAAATCAGAAAAAAATGAAGCGGGCGAACCGTTAACCAAGAAATTAAATTGGTGTGGCCTAAGGCTACTTTGTTGAATGCCTTCCTTGATAATGTGTTGGACAGTCAATCAAAGAGAGCAATTGATAAAGATTGTGTCAGATTATGTCTTTACTCTATCCACACTACCATTTATCATCAAGACACATTGATGGGATATTTTTATCAATTGCATCGTAAAATGATTACTATGAATGGTAAAATATAAAAAAAAAAATATTATACATCTTACCTCTACTGCCTTTTTGAAAGAAGCAGGATGTTCCTTCTTGAATTTGTAACACAACTGGTGGACGTATGACCCCAAGTCTGGATCCAACTGACCTGTAATGTGATTAAAATTTCAAACTTTGACTTAATATGTGTATCAACATTTCTAATAAATAGTTCTTTTACCTTAATTTTCTGCTGTAAGGCCACACCAATTTAATTTGTTGGTTCTCGGATTCGCCTCTTCATTTTTTCCTGATTTGCAAAAAAAAAAATTCAGAATCAACTGCAAAATGCTCATATTTTGCCTTGAACAGTTGAAAACAGTCCTTTTCTTCCTAGTCATTACAGTTTTTCCATCTTTCAATGCAGTGGTATCATTAGAAGTTCAAAATTCATTGTTTAAATTTTGAACCAGCCTTTTGTGTTGACTTCATACCTCCTATCGTAGCATTTGGGGCTATAATAGAATGCCTAGATCTGTTTTTATTTTTATTTTTTTTCGCCCTGTCGCTTCATATTTTTCCTGAAAAAATCCGAGAACCAACAAATTAAATTGGTGTGGCCTAAGTGAAAATTATTTGTTACTCATTTTCTAAGAATTTGTAAAAGAAGACTCAACATATTAAGTTATTATGTACACTCAGAGCTCTTGAGATGTATGTGACACAATCTGATGATCATTGATAATATTTAACAATAGAGGCCTCAGGCCTTTTTGAAGACATTAATAACTTGCAATGTTAAATACTATACAATCAAGCCCTAGAACAACATTCTGCATTTAACACATTTAACCAAGAAAGACAAGAAAGAAGTATAAAGAAACTTGAGTTGCTACAAACCAGACACGAAGACTTTTCCCAAAGCCAGCTTTTAATGCCCTCAACATGCTCTGCTGGTAGGACATGTCTTCATCACTGCAGTATGTAACCCTGAAAATGAACAGGTTCTTTTTCAGTTTTTGATGTCTATATACATTGTATATAATGTCTTAGCTGTCATCATCTTTTGAGATTAGGCCACGTTCCTACTAGGGAAATTGAGCAGCTTAAAGTTAGACTGCTTGAAAATAAGCCGGCTTGCTTCTGGTCCGTTTGCGTTCACACAGGGAAATCCACGGCGGCTCGATCCCCTGCTTGCGTTCCCACACGCGCGTGCCGTAACTGGATTGAGCCGATTAAACTGCAGTTCATAGATTATATTTCTTTGTGTGCAACAATATTCTCAATATAATATACATGTTACAAAAATATAGGATAAAAGCTTATGGAAAGATAATCTTTGTGCAAGTAGCTGTACATAGGAAGGTTTACCTTCTTGATCAGAAGATTTTTTTTAGTGTGCAACAATGGTCAAAATATATTATCTGCCCCTAAAGGGTGGTGAACATCTACTCAACTTGCATGCTATCCCAATAGGGCGGTAAACATAAAAACTATTATGAAACAAAACTAGTCAGCTACATGTTAAAGTAGAGAAGTTCTCCCTCCTAAACAAGCTCACTCTGGGCACCCCCCTCCCTCGTCTGCGAACTGGGGGGCGGTGGTGGGATGCTGCTTCCCAGAGCACCCTCGGGCCAGGACTCCCAGGAGCCTCCATCCCTCGACTGTGAACTGTTTCTCAGCCGTCTCGTCGAAGACGTACGCGTTGCGTCGGCTGCCCTGAAGTTTCGAAAGCCGGCTGTGGTCCGCGCGGACCCCAAAAGAAAATCAGATATAATTTTTTTCATAAATGGTAGAAACGGAGTTTTCTGCACTGTATTGAGAGACAACTTTGTGGGTGACAATTACCTAAAATTTCATAATAAAATCTTTAGAAACAAAAAAGAAATTACAGAATATATAGTGCTGGGGTCCGCGCGGACCCCAGGTGTACTGTTTAGGGTTAAAGAATGTCGAGTGGCCAAGTGGGCGAAGCTTTCTCCTCTCCTGGTCTTCCTTGTACATTTCATACACATCACTTTTTGTAAGGTAAGGCCACACCAATTTAATTTGTTGGTTCTCGGATTTTTTCAGGAAAAATATGAAGCGACAGGGCGAAAAAAAATAAAAATAAAAACAGATCTAGGCATTCTATTATAGCCCCAAATGCTACGATAGGAGGTATGAAGTCAACACAAAAGGCTGGTTCAAAATTTAAACAATGAATTTTGAACTTCTAATGATACCACTGCATTGAAAGATGGAAAAACTGTAATGACTAGGAAGAAAAGGACTGTTTTCAACTGTTCAAGGCAAAATATGAGCATTTTGCAGTTGATTCTGAATTTTTTTTTTTTGCAAATCAGGAAAAAATGAAGAGGCGAATCCGAGAACCAACAAATTAAATTGGTGTGGCCTAATGTGAAAGGTGGGTGATGGATTTGTCGGGCATGTGGTCCCCAATTTTCTCAGCAGTGGTCTCATCATGCCAAACTTTGACGTTCAGGTACCGTTGACATGGTTAGATGTGTCCTATGCGTTGGTCCGGTGTGGAAAGCCAGTTGTTTTTATGGTTGTTCAGCTCTCTGAAGTAGCTAGTCAACAGGAACATTTCATAGATGTTAGAAATTCAGAAGAATGTACATGACCCTACTAAGGCCGCGTCGTGGACCACATCCACCCCGTACTTTGGACGTACAGAGCCACATTACACTGAACAGAGTAGAGAATGTTGCAACTTTCAAGGACCCAACAGGATCATTAACCATCGCTATCCAGAGAAGTATCCAGTCTGCACACCCTGGCATAGAGGCAGAGCGGTGTAAGGCACTACTGTTGTGCCAGGATTTTTGCTTCCTATTAAAGCTGTCTTGACATAGGTTCCTCGCTCTGGAGACGTTCGACAGATTTCCCTGCGAGCTTCGAAAGGATAGTGGTGATGACCATGGAAACACCTTGTTCATGGAAACACCCGAAGTCAGCAAATCCATGACGACCTCCCTGATTTCGTCGCAGTACTTTACATTTTGAAATGACTGGACTTTCCATCAGGGTTTGTATTTGCTGGAGATCTGTATTTTCATTCTACAGGTCTTTCCTCTGTAAAAATTTGCTAGTGTTGAACTAGTCCGGACGGGTTCGGGACTGGTGAACGTTAACTAGTCCCAATTGGTCCGAACCTCATTAGTTCCCCGGCGAAGGAGTGCTCGGACCTGCCTGAACTGGTCCGGACTACCTTAACTAGTCCGAAGTAGTCCATTTTTGCCGCTCGGACTAGTTCCAAACTAGTCCCGGTCCGGGCGTCGCGCGAATTGGGGGCCGGAACTATAGTCCGAGCGGGCGGATGGCGCCAGGAATGGCGGTCGCCATGGTAACCTGACGACTTGAACTGAACAGACGCCTGTGCGTGACAAGACACACATGGGCGGTTGGCTCTAGTCCCTGGTCAGAGCTGCTGTCGCTACCCTCCCCGCGGCCGCATAGTCAAGCTGGCGGAGCATTAATCTGATTCTGTGATCCGCATAGGATCGGAGCGTTGCCCGAAGCACGATGTTAGCGTTACAACAAGTACAGATAACAAATTTACAATACCCAGATGAAGTGCAAAGAGTCAATCTGAACAAGGTCAGGTTTCAATCTCCTTGATCTGAATGGGGCAGCTCTGCTACAAGGATCGGCACAGGTAAGCGACCGTGAATACCCGTAAATTCTACAACACGTCCGTGCTGAGACAAAAGGGGCCACAGAGTACAATGTATTTGTCAAATCAAATTTTAGCTGTAGATGATTTATGTATGTAAATGTACGAAGTATTAAAGCTTTGATACGACGGAAGCTGCTCCTCACAGTCCAAAATATAGGATCTGAAGATCAGTGAAATGCCAGGATGATCGGCGAAGCTAGATGAAACTAACTCTCACGCAAGCGAACGCATAAGATGTTTAAGTGGGCCCTTTGTTTCGTCCCGCGCTGAGATCCCTAATGTTTATATTTAACCCTATTTTCGCGGAGACGAAACAGCGTCCTGTCAACACTCGCCGCGCGTGAGGTGAGAATGGTGTGCCACGCGCCTTTTGAAAAAAATAACGCATGACACAGTCTACCTGACACACCTCTTTGAAAGATTGATAGGATGGAACTTACCACAGTAAATCTTCGGAACCCTTGGGAGAGTTGTGTGGTTGTCATCGGAGACCGAGGGCAAATCCTGTAGGTTAGTGAATTATTTTTCAAGTTCTTCGCCAAACCAGCAACAGGGATCGTCGTTGGTAGCAAAGTTAATTAGCATCAACGTTTCTAAGTACCTTACTTGGCAGGAAATGGTTTAAAATTAGCTTTTGGAAGACAAATTAAGACCTTTTCCGCTACGAGAGCACTTAGGCTTTCTAGACAGTAAACATGATACACTCGATACAGGATTACTACCAAGACAAAAATTCGCTTTTGAAGGTGTTTTATTCCTCACACTAGTCATAGCAGCTGATCCAGTCCAATACAATACTGATCTGATGAATGTGACATTAATGATGTTTTAAGTTTATAGACTTGAAAGTTAAAACATCTTTAATGTTACATTCATCAGATCAGTATTGGATTGGACTCAGCATTAGATGTAAGTCGGACGTCTTAGTCTTTCTTCTTGGAGTGGTGGCGGACTGACTTGCACTTCTCGTTAATCCAGTGGCAGACATCTTTCCGAAACGTCTTACTGACCTGGTCCACCCCCTCGATCACCGCCATGAAGTCTGAAATCAGGATCAGGGGAAATCGTCACGTCAAGGTGGACCTTTAGCCCTACGGTTTAAAAAAAAATATAGGTACAAACGTTACTTACATCATTATGTTTTGTTCACAACAGAAAGCATCATAGAAAAGTTGTACTAGGGCTTTATTGGTTGGCTTACTTACCTACGATCGCATCTACCTTGGCCCCGTCTAGTTTTCCCAGATCCTTCCCCATCCCAACCGTGCTGTTCCCCACCATCTCAGGCACGTTGAAGACGTCGTCACAAACGGCCCGCACCTTACTCGCGAAGTCTTTCACATCTTCCGATTTTCCCTGGACTTGCCGATAGGTCGACGTTAGAACCGAAAACCCCCGGCCAATGGATGTCCTGGAGACTATAAGAAAAAAAAATACGAACTAATTGTAGAAAACACATTGACTTCTGAACACCAGGTACAACATCAATGAAAGTAACATTTCACCCCTGGTTTGTTGTTCAGCATGCCGAACGCTGGAATAAATCGGGACTTACCCCCAAAAGTACATCGATTTTGTAACTTTTAGTCCGCTGTTCATAATATTGCCCTTAACAAACAAAAATGAATTTCCTCGCTCTTGCAGAGTTAGTTTTGTGTGCCTACGGCCATGACTGGATTCTGATATTCTTTAAGATTTGCCGTACTTATACTACCCTATGGATAGTTTTGTTTGTACCGCACTTTTTACCTCTTGGGCCTTGTGTCCCAGTCGTCATGGTGGGGCCACTTGCAGCCGCAGATGGAGTGGTGCGGACGGAAGGGGTAGTGACGACCTGAGGGGTGGTGGTGGTGGAAGGGTTGGTGGCGAAAGGAGGGGTGCCGAAAGGAGGGATGATTCCTCCAACGTCCTCACTGTGACTATCAAAGGCACCATAAACGGTCTGAAGTCCAGAAGCCACATATGAGGACGATGGATATGGAGGACTCAGTTCGGACCGGGACTGGGTCTGGGACTGACTCCAGGTCTCAGTCCCGGACTTGTCCTGCAGGAGGGCCAGGAAGCTATTGTCACTACAAAATAGAACCCATGGTTTTGACCCAGCTAGCTAGGCTGACAGTACCAAATCCCTCGTCACTTTGCTCTCCGTCCGGGTTAAGATATGGGCAGAAACCGCCTGGGTCAGGGGCTGGGGCCCGTAACGGAGAGAAAGTCCTTTTTTTTTTTCAATTCCATACATGACCCATTCGATCTGATCCCCCTTGTGCCTGGCCTTATGGCCCGTCTTCCACATCCCTAACCTCTCGAAACCCGACCGACTGACAGGTCGGTATTATCTCACCCCTCCCTACGCGCAAAGCAACTTGGGATAGTACCAAATCCCTCATCACTTTGCTCTCCGTCCGGGTTAAGATATGGGCAGAAACCGCCTGAGAACTTACGCTTACCTCCCCGGATCGTCCTCATTCTTCACTATAAACTCCCTTATCTCACTCCACTACTCACATCCTTACCATCCCTTACCACTTCTCCATCCCCTTACTCATTCCAAAAATTACTTAGGTCCCTTCGCCTCTTGCTGGCTTCCGCGTAATAGAAAACAAGTCTCACAACATCACATTGTTGCGCCACATCCTCATTTATTCATAATCGCCTGTTTAAGTTAAAGTTAAAGCTTAATTGACTGGTGTCACATCCACATCCATTCATGATCGTCCATTAACATCTCATCCTCATTGACCTAAATCACTTAAGTCACATCCTTATGTACACATGATCATCATTAAAGCTGAGGCTTCATTCAATCTCTAAAGCGCATGAAATAATCTTGGAACTGTGGTACATCCATGTAAACATTGCTACTAACTGCTGAACGATACACTTATGACTCCGTGGTTTTACGTATTTACAGATTAGTCCGTGAACACCGGTCGATACTGTCCGCGGTCCCTCCCCTCATAGAACGCCGCCGGGTCGAACTTATTCTGCCCCGTTGCGCGGTCTGTCCCCGTAGATGGCCGGGATACTTCTTCCCGCAGTATCGCCGCCGGGGACTTCTCATGATAGACCCTATCCAGTCGTAGGTAGCGTTCTGCTGTAGATTTGCTCCTCCATCCTACATGTGTCATGAGGGAGGAGTCGTCCGCGCCGCCCAAAGCCATGGTTATGGCACTGGCGGTACGCACCCCGTGGAGTGTTTCACCTTCGTATTCGCCCATTTCACATAGGTATGCCTTGAAACGGCTCTGAGCCGCGTCATACAAGAAAGGCTCGTTCAAGACTCTGCGCGACTTGTCTACCGTTCGGAAAAGATATCCCTTGTTCAGTCTGATCTTCAGAGCTTTTGCTACTCTCATGTAAACTCGAAGGCCCTGTACTGGGCAGGTTGCATTGCTTTTCCCGGCTAAGATCGGGAAAGCGTTCGCGGACCCATCTCGCAGGGTTTTTCCGAAGGTGTGGTTAAACCGAATGCCCTTCTCCCCTGGCAACCACGCTAACTCCTCAGCTTTGCACCTTCCTAAATCCGACGCACGATCCGCCGCAAAGAAGAGGATTTTGAAAAAGGCTTGGTCGCGGGCTAATGTGAACCAGGCGGCTTCTTTCACGGCCGGATCCTTCATCTTGTTTGCGATGTGACGACACACCCTCTCAAGCTTGTTGAAGAACACCGGTTGTGCTTGGGTCGGTTGTACCATGGCATTAGCCTGTTCTTCCTTTACGACTTTAAGGTATTGTTTTACCATGGGGGCGGCCGCTGGGTTTCCCGTACATATGGTGTCGTTCCACTCACCCCCTCGGCCTCTGTTATTAAATATGGCTCGCAATTGTCCTATCATGGCATCCACTGTTCCCGCTGCTAGCCGGCGTGGGCAGCCGCAGTCCGTTTTCCGTTTGTTACCGAAGTTTTTGCAATCTGTGGCGTGGACTACTGTTTTTCCTCCTTTGTCTTTCCAAACTAGGAAGGCGCAAACATTCTTGGGGGATGCGGTGATTAGGTCTTTCGGTGGGGAGATGTTTCCTAGGAAATCGGACAACTCCTGTTCCATGGCTACCTTCTTTCTGCCGTAATCTGAGCTTGTGGCTATGTTTTTGACTTCGTCCAGACGCTCTTTTATCTTTACCTCGTCTATGAGGAGTGTCTTTTGAGGGTGCTTGAAAGGTTTTCGTTGGTACGCACACATCTGGCACTGTCTAAAATTCTTGTCGTTCGGGTGATGGCACTCTGGGCAAGCCACCGATGGCGATGCGGTCCATTGGCGAGGTATGGTTGGCAGAGGCTGCGCGGGAAAAACAAACAGTGGGCGGGATTACTGACGGTGTGCGAAATTGGATTCTCCGCTAAAAGCTATTAATTGGCTATCTAAGTGAGTCTCTCTAGCCTGAATGCCCACAATTCGTGTTCGAAGACCTTCCCCTCTTTGAAACCTGCCTTGGTGGGGTAAAGGAGGGCTGATGTGGACCCTGCCTCGGACATTTTAATGGCCTTGACTGCCGTGTTTATTAGCGTTGGCCACCAGATCGGGGTGGGGGATAGTCTGGGTACGACGATGGTGACGTTAGCTTGGTGTTGTGTCACAAAGTTGACGACGGTGCTGATCATGTTGATCGGGGGAAATACGTAGGCATTTTCTATCTCCCCTTGAGGAATATCTACCCCCGCAGAGTCTGGGGTTGGGTAGGGTGTATAATGTCTTAATACGGCTCCTGAGCGGTCTTTCTGCGCGTTGGAGTCAAGTGCCATGAGGTCTACCATATGACCTGTTTTTCCTCCGAATTCCGCCTGGAGGCGTTGCCATAGGTAGGGTGCCAACATGCAGTCGGATTTAGATAGCACCCTGGACGGGCGGTCAGCCTGGTTGTTATGTGTGCTTATGTGTTCTAGGGACAACACGACGTTTAGCTCACGGGCGGTCTCAAAAATGTGTCTAATCTCTTCGTTGAGGGCTACAGCCCTCGCTCCCTGTCCCTTCCAGGCGTCTACAACCGCTTTGTTGTCCACGTTCATGATTACCCGAGAGTTTCGCACCCATCGTTCTGCTGATAGCAGAGCGAGAGCAACTGCCCTTGCCTCCTTACAATTGATATCTTTTTGGCGGTCTTGCTCTTTGAAATAGTCGCCCATACTGGTCTCGAGGCCCATGTGCTGTGGGGTGTGCAGTACTGCCCCCCACCCAAAGCCGGACGCGTCTGAGGAGATTGTGATTAATGAATGCCTCTCATCACGCCAGGGTACTGGGTCCATCTCGCCATCGACAAAACGCCAGTGTTTGATTTCCGCTCGTGCGTCTGCGGTTAACTGCGTGTGTGAGATGCCTCGTTTGGTCATGTCTCCTATCAACTTGTTACACTGTCTGGTGTAAATCCTGGCTCCCGGGACAACTAATGCCATTGACACGCATTTGCCAACAAACTTTTGTAGGTCGTTGATGGTTACTGACGTGTCAGATAAGATCGCTTCCCTGAGTGTGGTGAACTTCCCCTTCTTGTCATCTGGGAAAAAGAATATCGCTTCTTTTGTGTCCATCCCGGTGCCTAAATGTACGAGTCTTTGTACCGGGACGATGATGCATTTCTCTAGACTAAGGAAATACCCGGCTCTGGTTAGGAGGTCGCACATGATGTAACTAGCGATCTGCGCTTGGACATACGCGGGTCGGGGGCCCATCGCACTTTTGGGTGGGGGGGTGCGGAGGCCTCACCGTTTAGCCTATCGTCGATATACAACATAGTCGGGATACCCAGGTGTCTAGCATATGAGGATATCAAGGTCCCTGTAGTATTATAAACAAACGCACTCCCTTTCCACCCGAATGGTAACGTACGATACACGAAGAAATATCCGTTGAATTCGAAGCCGAAGTATGTCCAACTGTCTTCTGACAGCCCGATGTGCGAATACCCGCTTTTCTCGTCTGTATGGATCATGTATCCGCCCTTCCTTAGCATCCTGGGGGCCTCTGTTATGGGGTCTAAGGTGAAGGGGGAATCTTTCGTCCACAGGTTCAGGAATCGTCCGTCCCAACACATACGGGGCTTGGACGGTTCCACTGTGAGTGGCAACACTAAATGGGGAGGTTCACATTGGCCGACTTTTCCCCACACCTTGATGGAACCGTCTTCAAGCCGCGCTCTAATTTGTGCAGAGAGAAAGCTGTAGTGTGAGGAACAGTTTTTCGCGTTAGGAAGGTGGATGGGAGGGGGGGGGTTGTGCACAGTAAGCCTGGTTTTTGAAGGTGCCTTTGAAAGGTCTGAAGAACTTGTGAATTTGTACTTTATTCTGTATCCAGTCTAGGACTTCCGTGCCCTTGTCCGAGAAGTCGGCCAGTCTTGACCACACTTCCGGATGGTTGTGTAGGGAGCCGGCTACGAATTGTTTAGGGTCCCTGAAGGGTAAGGACGTTGGGTCTACTGGTGTTTGAAGTGCCGCTACCTGTTCCGCCGTTATGTGTGTGCTGGGACGTGTGGTGGGCCAGATTTTCCCGTCCCAAGTCACCCATGTGGTGTCTTGAATGTGTCGGACTGGCACTTCGAGTGGGTTGAATGGGGCGGGGTCGGTATTTGGCTTGGGCGGCTGGGATTTCTGGAGGAAAAACACATAGCGGAAAAGGGAATCAATCTGGTGTTTTATTTTATTTTTTATTTTTTTTTAGGTTTTAAATCGTTATGTGTTTTCTTCACGTGTCGTCGGTATATGTAACGAGTACAGTGCCCCTGCGGGGAGTCGTGTTTCTCCCTAAGCCCTGAGGATGGTTTCTAGTATCAGTTAATCAGATCAATGCCCTGGGTCTGTCGGAAGTGATGGGGTGACGATTTCTGAGAAGACTCCCTCTTTGGGAGGTCTTAATTAGAGCCTCCCGTCTGTCTCTACGGGGTTCAAGACAAATATGACAAACGAGCTGGGATAATAGGAGAAAACGGATTCTGCTTTAATACTCAAAAATACTCTTTGGGTTAACAACTAAACGCTTATCGTTATCACAAAGTATCCACAGGCCGTTACCGTGAATAAATTCAACTTGTGACCTAGTACGCTTACAACAGGTTCAGAAAAAACTGAAGGTGTACAAAGATATCATCACAATTGCCTTGTCAAAGAGGTCACAAGGAAACGGTTTCACATAGTCATGTAAAACAAACTTCTTAACGAACTGCTATGTCACATCAATAAGATTGTAACGTTCGGGTTAGAAAATACGAAAAAACAACGTCGCCCTCTTGTGAAGACTAAATGAGTACAAGCGGTCATAACGAGTGGTTCTAAGTGGGAAAAAACAATCCCCTATATTCTACTTTTACTTAGCTACTTGAAAACGAGCGGTCATAACGAGTGGTTCTAAGTGGGAAAAAACAATCCCCTATATTCTACTTTTACTCCGCTACTGGAATAAGAGCGGTCATAACGAGTGGTTCTAAGTGGGAAAAAACCATCCCCGACATTCCACTTTTACCCCGCTACTCTCAATCGACCACAGGCGCTAGGCCATCGAGTTTTTGTTGAAATCTATATTGTTTTGTAAATGTCCTTGCTATTAAAAACTATTTTACAACCGTGATTGTTGTGTGTACTTACTCAGTCTGTTGCCTTCACAAAACAAAAGGAATGAACACGGTCCGTTGAAAGATTCCCGAGAATCATACACTGAACACAAACACCGTAAACACGGTCCGTTGAAAGATCCCCGAGAATCATACACTCAACACAAACACCGTAAACACGGTCCGTTGAAAGATCCCCGAGAATCATACACTCAACACAAACACCGTAAACACGGTCTACAACCTGACGAGGATTCCAAAGAACCATACGAACATATACCGAAGTCTCCCGAAGATTGCCGAGAGCCGAACGGCGGCTTCAGAACGCTTTAGCTTTGTTAGTACTAGTATACACTAGGTGCGAAATGCCATTTCTAAAGACCCTATTTTCTGCGAAATACCACAAGGAAAATAAAAGTCTTGATACTGTCTATAATCAAGGGGTAACTAAGTAGCCATGTAAACTTTTTGGGGGTATGATACCATATTTTAAAGAAGATATGAAGCATTTTGTAAAGTCCGATTTCCGGTGAACTGCGTTACCAGCAGTACCACTACTGGCCGCTAATGTCGCTGCTGCACAGGTCAATGACATCACCGCTAGCCAATCAGACGCACGGTAGGCGCCCACATTTCCCGCCACGGTTCGAAAATGGAAACGTGCTTCGACAGTTCGAAATCGATCGAACCGGTTCCATTTCAAGATGCCGATATGATCAAGTTAGCATGTAAATCTATACGGGCGACAGGATTTCACCTTTTGTTTTGATTTTCTGCCACGTCGTCTGCTCGACCCGTGCGTCGACCCGTGCGTGGTCGATACCGGCATTACTTCCGGGTACCATTTGCTGGCTGACTTTCGGTAAGTATACAGTGCTAAACCTAATTTTGAGATTATGTTAGACAGTGACGGCTGTTGTTGTTGTTGTTGTTGAATTTTTTCTATTGTCAAAATGCATGTTTACTGACTGCTTTAAGCGGCTTAAAGACATATGACTGTGGACTTTATTTCTACTTCTAAAGGATTTTGGAAGTACCGTACAAGTAGTGAAAGTTGACGTTTGTTGTGTTGTCTTTGTTTCAGATTATAATGCTGATTTGTGCGAAGATCGTGCGTACTAGTACATTGGAGTAGGGCTGCTTTTGTGAGTGTTAATGTTAATCACCTTGTTAATTGTAGAAAACACATTGACTTCTGAACACCAGGCACAACATCAATGAAAGTAACATTTCACCCCTGGTTTGTTGTTCAGCATGCCGAACGCTGGAATAAATCGGGACTTACCCCCAAAAGTACATCGATTT